TTAACAGCTGGGGAACCAAACAAAAACAGAGCCATTGGTTTTGAGCCACAATGTCTGATATCATTTATTTACATGATAATTTTTAAACTTTAAGTATAAAAATGCCACATTTAATGTATTTTGCTTTGTCTTGGTATCAACAGATATATAACTGTACTTTTATGCTGATTATTTTATTACAGATGGAAAAAGAGGGTCGTAGTAAGGTGTGGGCCTACTTCACTAAAGATCCATCCAGTGATGTCATCTGCAGCATCTGCTCATCTTCAGTAGTAGTTTGTGTGTTCTGTTGTTTTTGAGATTGCAAAATAAATCTTATTTGCATTACTTGGAAACCCTAGTGAGTTATTGAGACAGTTCTTTGGTGTGCAATATAGAAATAAGTCAGCATCAAAAAGGCAGAGAATGAAGGGTTTAATCTTAAGAACATTTGTATTTATTTCTTTTTTTTTTTGTGAGGGAGATTTATCGGCCATTATATCGGCCTTTGTTAAAAGTTTTATATCGGTATCGGTCCCAAAAAAAGCATATTGGTCGTGCCCTACTTCATACAATACAGGTTTTATATTTATATATATTTTTTTATCAGTTTACCTAGAATCAGACCCTCACAATAGGTTTGGACCTTCCAGGTCTGACAGGCATCCTCCACCACTGTCAGAGCTAACTCAACACCAGGTAGTGGTCAGTTGACAGCTCCGCCCCTCTCTTCACCTGAGTGTCCAAGACATGCGGCTGTAGATCAGACGAAACGACAACAAAGTCAATCATTGAGCTGCGGCCTAAGGTATCCTGGTGCCAAGAGCAAATATGGACACCTTTATGCCTGAACATGGTGTTCATTATGGACAGTCCATGACTGGCACAGATCTCCCCCATGCTCAGAAATTAATTTCCCATTAGGCAGGCATCCACTGCGACTGGTTTAAAATCTGGTTTAACAGGGCTGTATAGTGCAACATATATGTCACACATGCGATGAAAATAAAACTCTGTGCGATGAAAATAGTACTTGTGCGACATCTTTTTAAGTTACTTTTTTAGGTAAGGCTTCTCTTTAGCATTTCAAAACCCTACAACTGTGTATTTAGTGTGAATTAAAAGTAAAATATGAAATTAAACTTAGCTGAGTGAAAGAAAAAATGAGCCGTAAGAACTGCCGGTAACTGGCAGAATGCTGTTAATGCTAGGCTAGCTTGTTGTCAGCTTTAGAGACCATCTTAAACTCTCAGCTGCTTTTTAGCTTAACATGTTAGCTCCAGTTTTATGAATCAAATTATTTTTCTGTATGGGAATCGGATAATTTCAATCTGTGTGCGGAGGAGAGAAGAGGAAACTCCTGCAACATCTGCAACACCCCCCACCCCTCGGTGGTGTTCTGTGTTAGGAACTTTTTCTCATATGGGACGGAGCCAAAGAACATCACTTGCCTCTCCAGGTTTTATTTGGATGACACAATGGTAAATGGCCTGTATTTGATATAGCGCCTTCTAAAGTCCTGGAACCCCCCAAGCAGGGGCGAAAATCCCTCATCATTGTTGGGGGGGGGGGAACATTAGACAGTAAAAAGTCTTTATTGGCTTCCGGTTGTGTTCCGGGTTCAATTTACGCTTCTGACCATTGTGCACAAGGCTTTAAATGACCTAGCACCTGTATATCTTTCCAATTTGCTTATTCTTTATATTCCGCAGCTTTCTTTGAGGTCAGCTGATCACCTCCTTCTCTGCACTCCCAGGATGTGCTGTAAATTGTGGGGAGAGCGAGCTTTTATCAGTGCCGCCCCACCCAGCTGTGGAATGCACTGCCTCTTATGGTAAGGCAGGCTCCTTCTCTGGTGGTTTTCAAATCTCGTTTAACTCACTTTTATGGATTAGCTTTTAGTTCATGATTTGTTTTATGGCTTTATTTTGGTTTTATTGTTTTAATTTTCTCTATCTGCCTGGGAAGCACTTTGGTCAGGGCTTGTGCTGGTTTAAATGTGCTCTATAAATAAAATGATGATATGATGATGAAGAGATAAACCATCAACCCAGCTAAATTGTCACCTTTCCTAGACGGGGTCACCCGATAGCACAGTGGGAGGGTTAACCAGAATAAATCTTTCTGATGCTGGAGAAACTCGTTAGTTTAACTCGTTCGGCAGGCGTCAACAAGTTCACTCTTATTTTGAAGGAACGTCGTCTCGTTGATTCAAACGACAGAAATCTCCAGCTTGACAGTTCTCAGCTTAAAATAGGAAGTACAGCTGGCCAGCCTGTACTTCTCTTTTGGCGGTGATAGATTGAGAGCTGGTTGAAAACAATGTTGAGAGTATGATGTAACTCCTTTGGAGCTCGGATCGAACAGAGCTGATGTTAACGTGGAACTGAATATAAAATGGCGTTGCCTTCTTTTATATCTCCTAATTGTTTACCAACCTTAGTAAACCAGATTGGACACATTAAGTAAACATCCCAGATTCTCTCTACGACAGACGAAAGTTCTGATTGGATGGCACTGTGGTTATATCAGTGGTTATATTGGTGGCGCCAGTGCTCGGCAGCCTCGCCTCTGTCAGTGCCCCAGGGCAGCTGTGGCTACATCTTAGCTCATCCCCACCAGAATGTGAATGTGTGTGTGTGAATGGGTGAATGACTGATTGTGTTATAAAGTGTCTTGGGGGTTCCAGGACTTGTTGTGCAAATTTTGCGGCATTCATTCCGCCTTGCTTGGTAGTAAAATTACTGTAATAGTCTGTCTCATAAACAGCTATTGCGCCATGGCGCGACAGATGGAGGTGTCATGATGATGTGGGGAGTTCATGTTGAGCTGCGACCGGCAAATATATCAAGTGGTGCTCGCTGCAGAACCACAAAGGCGGAGCTGCACCAGAAGGTGGGGCTGCACAAGAGTCAGCCCCGCCCATTCCAGAGTCAGTCCAATTCCTTCCAGTTGTCAGACATGATAGCATTCTGGAACCAAAGAGGGTGTTATAGCTAATATCATTTAAAATGCAAGATTGAGGACGGAGTTGAGAAGTTAATTGAACCATTTTTGTAAAGGTTCCACATAATTAAAAATCTAAATTTTGGAACTTTTTACCATGTTATATTATCATTTCCTCATAAGAAACACGCCAAAGCCATTTTTGGTCTCATTCATGCATTTTTCTCCCATCTCAGCTTCAATTTGGTCCTCTCCTCTGAAGCGGGTCTGGTCTTGGTTCTCCAATCTGGATATTCTGTCAATTTTCTGACAAATTATTTCTGAAATGACTTCTACTGAGACACTGCAAGAAAAACCATACATCCCATCTACAAAGACACACTGGATGGCACAATAACATGTGATGCCACTTGCTTGTTATCTGGTGAAGTGGATATGTACTCAGATTTGCATGAAGTTTTGCGCAGGTTCGCCTCCCGGTAGTGGCGCAAACTTTTTTCTTCTTTTCCAGCTACACTTGCCAGTACTATGTTTTTAACCATTTATTGGTATACTGTTTAAAATATAATGACTAATGTGTTTGTTTGTTTTTTATTTATTCGTTTATTTAGCCAGTGTGAGTCCATTTGTGAACAGAGTTTCAACTAAAATGCTGTTTAGGAACGACCAAATTCAAAGAACTTTTAGAGACATAAATATTTTGCAGAAAATAAACATTACAACTAAAATATAAACAAATTAAATGTTTCAGCTGGCTAAATAGATTGCTGCCGACCCCACCGAGAGTCAAACCAGCATCAGCAGAGGGGAAAGCAAAACTTAAAATTGACGCTCTTGCCACTGGACTACCAGAACACACTAAAAATTGTCCTTAAATGCTGCTTTACCCTGGTTCTGTTGGAGCGGCTATGGACAGATATTCGCTAAAAGAAACTTTTTCATTTCAGGATATATTCAGGCTTTGTCATGTAGCAAGTTATATTTATCTTGCTTAATTGGAGCATAGAACATAGCATTAACATTTGTAAACTAGTAACAGCCGTAATTCATGTGGGTCTACGACTCTGTACTATTTCGTGGCCACAATTTATTTATTTTTTGGACCATGTCATCAGAGGGGTTAGTTTGCGATAAAATAAAAAAAATAAATAAATAAACAGAAGAAGTCAGTGGGCTAGGCTGTTTGCATGAATGGGCGGGGCTGACTCTAGTGCAGCTCCACCTTCTGGTGCAGCTCCGCCTTTGTGATTCTGCAGCGAGCACCCTCTCAAATATATTGAAAATTAAAGTAAACACTAGAGGTGTGAATCTTCACTTGTCTCCCGATTCGATTTCGATTATTGGGTCAACGATTCAATTCGATTCGATATCCCGATGCATCACGATTATTTTATATTGATTTGTTTTCATCGATAAATAGAAGATGTCAGATAATTGCTTTTTATTTTTTTTAATCAAAAACGTAAGTGACACAACCTGCCATCCCTCAAAGGCTCTCCATTAACAGGTTAGGGCAAACATTTTAAACATTTAAGAAGATTTAACAAAGTAAAACAATCTGTTTCCTCGTTCAACACCACGCCTCAGGCTGAGAAAACACGCTTTGCAAAAACTCACAAGATATAAAAAAAAGTACTGAAAACCTACAGGCAGGGCCGTTGCTAGCTATTTTGGTGCCCTAAGCACAAAGTCTTCGTGGTGCCCCCCCCCCCACACACACACACACACACACACACACACAGAAAAAACAACACAATCACTGGCATGTGACATGACTAAATTCAAAACTATTTAACCCTTACTAAGAACTAGAGAGGCACAATATACACAACTAGAAAATTCTGAATATGAAGGGAGGAGGTTAGCATAATGGACCTTTTTCTTCAAACTATACCATCAGCTGCTGATGTTCCTCTTGGCCAGTAAATGTTTATGAAATAAATATCAACATTGAGCAAATACCTAATTTGAAAATAGGTTTGTCAAATTTTTCATATTAAATCTCAGTTACATAGCCTATAGGCCACATAGGCTATTTAATAATAATATAAATCAT